GAAGAGAAGGCTTCGGGGAGACCTTATAGAGTCCTTCCAGGATTTGAAGGGGGCCTGCAGGAAAGGTGGGGAGGGACTCTTGATCAGGGAGGGTAGTGACAGGACGAGGGGTAATGTTTTCAAACTGAAAGAGGGGAGATTTAGATTAGACATTAGGAAGAAATTCTTCACTGTGATGGTGGTGAGACGCTGGCACAGGTTGCCCAGAGAAGTTGTGGCTGCCCCCTCCCTGGCAGTGTTCAAGGCCAGGCTGGACGGGGCTTTGAGAGACCTGGTTTAGTGGAAGGTGTCCTTGCCCATGGCAGGGGGTTGGAACCAGATGATCTTTTAAGGTCTCTTCCAACCCAAACCATTCTGTCATTCTATGACTTAAATCAGAATGAAAAATATTTTAAGTATAAAGTACAGCATACCAGCATGACAAAGACACAAGCTGGGCCAGAATTCTGTCGTATTTAAAAGAATGTAGTCATCTTCAAATCTTCATAATAATTGGTCCCTGTTCCCTGCTCAACTGTAACGTTATTTAACAACTTGAATCCATAATTAAGTTCATCATCCCAGTGGAATTTTAAAAAGAGGCTTAATTTTCTGCAAGAGAAATGGAGACATTGCATCCTGCCTAGCAGGGTAGCAAATCAATGACTCAGCACAGGGCAGTTGAAAGCAGATTGGTTTTAATCTCTTAATCTCTAATATATGCATATGTTGAAGGGTAGTCTTTGTGACCCTGGTAATACTTACACTGCACAACATGTATGTTCATTTTTTGCATGCGACACTTTATAATGAAAAAGGTAAACTTTAGCTATTCATAAGCACATAAGAGGTACAGAATAGAAAGATTAGACCTAATTTTTGGAAACCTGTTTTCGGATATGGACAGGCTTTTGTTTATGTGAAATGTATATTAAATAATGAACTATTATCAGACTGCAAATTCTAATAGTTGCTTTTTTAAATGCAAGCCACAAAACCAAAAGTTTTTGCTTTGTTTACAAACTATAAACAGCAGGTACAAAACCCCACACTGATCATTATTAACAATATTCTTAATGGCTATTTATGGCTTTTGTTGAGCACTCGTGAGCATATGCACTAGAAAGTACTTATCATTTAGGCACCTGATGTATTTTGCTAGCATTAGGAAAAAAGTTCAGGTTTTAGTTAGCGAAAGCTATTCCAAACTGTGAGAAAAATCACGAAATCTCAAATCTGGTATTCTAGGTGATTTTCAGATCTGTCTAGGTTTGGGTCTACAGATTTAGATCTCTGCACAAAGTTTTGGTTCTTGATTAATCACAAATTAGAAGAGCCTGCTTTCCAGTTTATGAAGAACATAGCCAAATTCTCCCAATAATTAAGCATGAACAGACAGTAGTCTTGGAAAAGCAAATCATTGCATGCAGACTTTTATTTGTGCTTTTCAAGAATTACAGACATATAACCCCATGTTCTCACTACCATTAGCTAATTTAAGTAAACTACGTTAATAAAGCAAAAAAGCTCTGTGCTCCCCAGTGCCCCAGGCATTTTTTTGGTTTGTTTATTCATCATCCTTCTCTCCTTAACAAATCTTTTGCAACCAAGAGAGAGGGATAGCCATACATTTCTTGCAATTCTTTCACTTTTATTCTACTGACATTTAGACTTTTGATTGTCTTTTGATTCCCACATAAACACAGGACATGCATAAGCTGGTTTCTAACAGTAATGCCCATTGTACTATACTTGTGTTACGAAGCGTAGAATTTCTGCATTTTATTAAAGTTGTTTCTGTAAAAAAGAAACTAAAATTACATGAAAACTACTTCAAATTTTGACACTTGAAATTATACTCAAGTTCTACCTCCAAAAGTCACTCATTATTTCATGCTCATCCATCTCTAACACAGTATCTAGGCCACAAAACCTGTATCTAGGTTATACCAGGTAATCTAGATCTCAATATTGCCTCTTTGAACTCTAACAGAAATGACTGAGAGAAAAATAACGTAACTTTATAACTTGTCACATATATGGAGTCACTATTTATGGCTTCAAAAAGGCTCTTACCTTGAGAAACAAGGCTCCCTTGGAAGCCAAGGAGTCCGTTCCTCTTCCATTGGGGTAACAGTGATAGGCAGCATCCATAACAGGATAGCGGCTGGCAAAAAGTAGACCACTGTTCACAAACTTAAAGCTACAGCAGCCATGGCAACTGTAGACCCCAACATCATAGACAATGTATTCAAAATAGTGATGAAGCTGCTCTTTCAATTTCTCCGCAGCTCTTTTGTCAAACACTTCCTGCAAACACAGAAAGTCCAAGTTGGCAGGGAAGAAAGCAGAGATCTCATGATCAAAGGTCTCGTCTGTATGTTTCTTTTTCCGCACTGAAGTCTTCTTCATGATTGAAGCTTTGTAGAGGAGCTTGTTGTTGACAGTGCTTTGGTCCACTGTACCATCTCCAACACGAACTTTAACTAAGGACTCTCGCGAGGCAGAGTAGCTGTCTAAACTCCCAGAATCTCCTTCCTTCTGTTTGTGGTTAGGTGTTTTTGCGATCTCTGCATCACCTTCCTGTGAGGGCTCTGCTGGGCCGCTGGCATGAGCCTGGCCATTGATAGGATCTGTTTCTGCGTCTGACATGTGGCCATTATCCTCTCCATTTATGCGGACAATGCAAGTGTTTTCTTCTCCCTCATTTGGCTCTCCAGCTCCACCTTTGTCTTCTCTACTGTCCTCACTGTTGTTTGAGCCAGAATTGTCTCCTTTATACTCCATTGATGTTGTCCTTTTGATGCCAGCATTAACAGTACGGTTAGTGCTATCTCCACCCTGGGGGGAGACCAAGCTGCTAAAACTTGCTGCACTGATGGATGTGTTGGTTGGAGAATCTATATATATTTTGATCTGTGGTCTGCTTGCCCCATTTCGGATCCTCCGGCCAATCTCTTTAGCTCTAGCCTGCGTATTGAAAACATTATTAAATCTTGCCAGAGAATCTGGCAGCAGGCAAACATTGGCACTGCCAAAGCAGAAGCTTTTCCCATTCCCTGCAGCCTTCCATTCAGTGAGCAGTGTGGCTCCATTGGCGTGGTTCTTGTCTTCTAGTCTGGAGTAGATGTATGGCCGCCTGGCTGACTGGAGTGGGGACCATAACAAGAAGCCAATCAGAGCAAAAGGAAGAGAGGCTACCAACAGTGCCAAGTAGATGGGAGTGGTAATAATGATGCAGAGTGCATGAAAATAGCACGGATCATCTGCTCTTTGACGTTTTTCATAGGTGGTTGGAACAAAAGAGGCCACAAGCCTATCTGCTAACCAATAACATGGGAAAATCAGGCCCCAGGAAAAAGAATGCAGAACTGACAGAAAGCTGTTGGGAAATGGGGAAGTGTATAAAACCATTGCAACTTAGTTATGACAACACTTCAGGGCCTACTACATGATGTCACTGTGTCAAGCATCCATAAGAACACTGGGAGAGGGCTGGGGAAAAAAAGGTCCAGTCAACAGTGTGGTTTTTTCCAGTGATTCAACAGCAAAACTTTAAGAGCACCATTTCACTGCATTGGAGTAAAAATGAAACAAGGCCACTGTTTTCGTCTGGCTTTTTGGCATCTATATTTGTCAAAGGATGTCATTGTTCACTGGAGGCTGCCATAACAAAACACTCCGGAGGCAAGGAAATCTGTAAAAACAAAAGACACAAAACATATGTAACAGTTATTAAAAGTTTAAATCAGAATTTCTCACACCGGTTTTGACTTACAGTCTAAATTATTTTGTTTAATTTAGAATTTTTGATAGTCTGTTAAACACTATGGATCTAGGGCAACTCCAACAACAAGAGACTGATATTTCTGCAAATGAAGTAAGTACATTGATCATTCAATGCACATGGTTAATGTTGTCATGAAATACATTTCTATTATGAATTTTAGGCCTTACATTGGGAAATATAGTTTGGAGTTTCTTTTATTTTATAATCCATTACACTAACATTTATATTTATTTCTATTAGCTGTTTTCAGAACCTTGAAAATGGTGTTTAGCAGTTATCTCTAGGCTGCTCTAAGACGATTGCAATTAGTGTTTTATCACTGAAGTTAAATTTGCTTGAATTGCCAAAGTCCTTAAAAAAAAAAAAAAAAAATGTGATCTGATGGAGGTACAATGACAGAGGCACTTCGTACTTAAAAGCAAAAAACATTTATTTGCTATAAAATATTATTTGCTTTGCTGCGCTTTAAAACAAAATGGGTTGATTTACATCAATTAAAATACTTTTCATATGGTTTCAAATTTTTAACTTTCAGTTTATTAAAAACAGTAAGTCAAACCACTTTGCTTTAATATTTAGTTATTTAATACTCACTATTTATTTCAAGCTGTAGTTCAGTTTCATTCCGATACAGCCCACAAAACCTCCTGATATGATTTCCTATTAAAGGTTTCTTACATACAGTGAATACTTAAGCAAAATACAAATTAATCATAATTAACATTACTGTTTTTCAATTGCAGTTTTCAGCTTTGAAGGAAACAATACTAATTGAATATATCAAATAAGAAAAACAGTTTCATATCTTTCCTCTGAAGACGGACAATGTCTTTCGAAAGCTGTCTCACTAGTTGGGACATCCTGACCTGAGGTATTCAGCGAATGTCATGATTAACCAAAGACATAAAATTGTTAGGGGCCTGATCATATTAAAAAAGCTTGGAATTATACATACAGCTTACATTTATTTTTTTTTTAAAGTAATTTAAGTCATCTTAACAACTTATAGTAAGTTCAGGTTTTAACACAGGTTTTGATAATATGAAATGTAAATTATTTTTAAAAAACAAGCATTAATATTAATCAAACTTTATCAGCCTTCAGAATGGTATCACCCATGAATGCATGTCATGCTCCATAAACTGAAACTGTGACGCTACCCAGGTGGAGGAGCAAAGCTAGGTGACTGATGAAGGCGGAATTCCCATTTATAATGTTTCAAGTTTCAAACCTAGAATGTAAATAATATCAAGCAGCACTAGATTAAACCCATTCACCAAATAAGCAAAACAAAGAATGTACACTGGACCATACTTCAAAACCCATCTTTGGTTTCGACATCATGGAGGGATGAAAATTATATAATAATAACCATTGGCATAAATTCAATTAAAATTTGGGGCTCTCAGGGAGCCATAATTAAGGAAATTACAGTAGTTTGATGTGAATTTTAAACATTCTGCATGGCACACAGAGACAGAGGGCATTCGTATTGCTATTTAATATCAAATAAAATAATTACATGGGACATAGAAAAGAGAAATAGATTTACAAAGCAATGCCGCCTTGGAATCAGAATAAAAATTCAATTCTTCAGTTTTCTGTCACCTTTTAGATTTCTGCTTCTTCAAACCAAGCCCTTGCAACTGACTTATGTTCCTGCTGTCAGCATATTTTTAATTGTGGTACACACCAGCTCTTAACTAGCTTTCTTTTTACCACACACACTGTTTATTAACGATAAGATCATTCTTCCCTCAGTCTAGATTCCTGATCAGCAGGACTAACAGTAGTCACAGCATGTCAGATTTGCAGCCATACATTTTTGGTAGGCACCACGGCAAAGAAGAATTTGAATAAAGGAACAGATGAAGGGGAGATAGTTTTGCAGATATTTCTTCCCAGCAGCAAAAGGCAACCCTAGGGCAAGCAAGCAAGCGTCAGTCTCAAAAATCTAGGGAGATGGTGACAGGGACTCATAACAAAACCTGACTGGAGATAGGAATCAAATCCTAAAAGAGACTGAGAAAAATCAGGTTGGGTGGAGACAAGATTCTAAAGACCTTCCAAAGTGAAACTAAGTAGTTGGTACCCCAATACTACAGAGAAGGAAAAGCCAGTGAGAGACCTTATGTAGAATCTTCAAGACAGAAAACGATGCTTAATAAATATGCACGTACTGATACCAGGAAAAGATTGCCAAAACCTGACTAAAAATCCAAAAAAAAAAAAAAAGGGGGGGGGGGGGGGGGCAGGGTAGAAGAAAAAGAAGCTGCAGCAACACACACCTAGCCTTCTGAGCATAACTATAATGCTCCTGCAATTGCTCACAGCCAACTGCACGTTTTGCCAACATCAGGCAATTACATTTAATGGGATATACGGTCCCAGGTACTTTTGCCCTGATGGTACTATTTAGATGGAAATTGGAAAGGTTGGATCAAGGCAGGTTATTTTTTTGTTTGTTTTAATTATTAGCTTAGCATAACTTTCATGATCTTCTGCAACATGTTTGAGTTTAAATAAACGAGTGACTATTCAAGTGCCAAACAACAAATGCTTGGCATTTACTCATTGCCAAAGGCATTTTGGGATGTTGATAATAGGGGAAAGCCTAGCAGATTTGTTTTCCTGAATGATTTTCAGGACTTTTTAGTAAGAATGCTCAAAAGAGACTCTGGTATCTACATATCAGAACAAAATAACTTAAAACCTGTCCAATTATGTAACTACCATTAGACAAGAAAAACCTGGAAAGAAGTTATTCTGTTCTAGTAGATGCTTAAAAAGCTTTATAAAGCTCTGTCTATTTACATGATCACTCAGCAGACCAGAAAGGTTCTTGTTTACAACAGTGCCAAAGGTAAACTGAACACTGGTGTTTGGGGTATGTGAACTGGGGACAGACTGCAAACCTTATATTCCAACTTTCAGGCTTTCCGGTGAAAGCTGCAGTTGTGTTGCAGACTATAAGGTCAATTTGACTTTTACTATTTTAAAATAACATACCAGAAAAAAACGCAGAACCAGAATGAATCCATAATAATTTGTCTAATTAAGTCTTCTATAGATAAGTATTTTCTTAAGTATATGATAACAGGGTGTTACAACTCCTAGGGAAACATGACATTGACTGACAATTTTGTCAACAAAGTAGTTAATGCCTGCTCAATGATGTGATGAAGTAAAAAAAAAAAAAAAAATCAATCCAACATAACTCGTGCCAGTTCTGTTACAGACTGCAGCATCAATAAGCTACAAGATAAATAGCTGTATAGCAAACCATAAAGTGCTAAAGTGCCTTCAAAAAGGCAATTATCCAGATTATGGGGACATACTAATTCTAAGGAATTCATGCTTACTGTAGATAGAACATACTATCATGTCTATTTGTAAAAAAGAAAGAAAAAATAAAGCAATCAGAAATCTTTTCACAGGATTGGATTACACAGCAAGTGTCATAAAGCAAACTGGCTCAGATTGAGGTCTGTTTTAACAACGCTTAGCAAGAATGTAATTCCTTGTAATCGCTAAGGACTGTATGATGGTTCAAGGCCACACTGGTGACTCCCATACTTCCTTTTGCCTTAAACGAGGATAGTATCTTTGAAAATCAGGGATTTGCTGGACAGTTTTTGACCAGATACCAGCTGCATTCCTCATTGCTAGCCAGCTGAAATGGGGAGGCAATAGGGATTTGAGTACAGAGATGCATTCCGTCCATTTTATTCTATGAATTCTAATAGAATTCTCACAAATATTGATGCAGAAGTACAAAATCTCTGGTACCACAGCAAGTTTTGAAATATGATAGCTGGAGAAAAGGGAGGAGGGAATCATGAGCTGGATGTCCTTTACATTTTTGCATATTGCAGACAGACATTGACACATCAAGGCCCTAATTAAAAATACTCTTCTTGCAAGTAAAATCTTATTCTAATTCATTAATTTTATAGATGAATGTAATAAGTAACATGTTGTGCTTTGTTCATTAAACCTGTATGGGAGGGTATGGATGAAAGATTTATGTGCTCACAAGAAGGCTTCATAGCTCAACCGAAGGACATTCGGCAAAGTAAACAAGACCCGTGGCTGAAGGGGTTGAATAATCACATTCTTGCATAAGTTCACCCACAGGGCAACGAGGAAGACCCTCAGCCTTCATCCTTACGACCACCAGGAGGTAGAAAAAGACCCCCTAGCAACAGAAGGAGTATGCGCAGAGTATCGCCCTGATTGCGACATCACCCTGATTGTGACGTCGCGAATACAGAAAATGAGACTGTATATAATGTGCTTACACGAGGCGGGAAGTTGCGAGCCGTTGGCGGAGCGCAGACTCCCCGGCCGCCCAGCGCTGCCTTTGCTCTTGTTCGCTTGCTAATATAATAAAATTCGCATTGGATTTTGACACTTTAAATTGTCCGTGTCTCTACCTATCACAATGAAGGACATCACACGGTTTGTCAAAGCTGTGTTACAGACTCACTGGCACGGACACGAACGGGAACTAAGTTTCCTACTCTTGTCTCTTAGCTACAAAACCATATGGATACTAATGCCTCAAAGCCACCCAAAAAAAGAGAGAATTAACAGAGTCGTAAGAGACATGTTTTATCTCCAC